GCCATAATGATTCTTCGTTTTAAGCAGGCAACGTGATGAAGGTCGCTGCGCAGCAAGCACTCCCTCAAATCCTACACGTAAACGTTTGCCATACTGGGTGGACCGAAAGGCTTTAATGAGTCGTCCCGCACTTTTCCAGTTCAAATAATTGCCGTCACTGAGCCAATCGAATCGGCGGTCTTACGGGTACCAAAATGTCACTCTTCCTACCCGGCGGGCCATCAGTCCTCAAGCTATCTACCCCCTACATCTCTTTCGAACCTCAAGGCAATTTCAAGACAAAAAACAAAAGAAAAAAAGAAAAAAACGAGGACATGCTAAAATAACTACGCTACATTTAGACACCACAACGTTCCTGCGTGAGTGTTACCCCTTTGGGTACAACCGTGCAGGGATGCTTCTGGGAAAGCAGCCGCCGACATGCCGCGTGGGTATACCTATACTGATCGCTATCGGCTCTGCCCATCATATCCTTTCGAACTCGTTTAGATCAGTGCGCGATGAGCACTACACTTCTGCTCGAGCTTCCATTGCTTCGTTGGTGGCCTCACCTCTGCAGCTCGACTTCCCGTACACACTTATTGCTTTATTATCGGCGTTACCCAGAGGAAAACCACGCAGCGGCGTGTCATATTCGTTCTATACCGAGTTTCGCTATAGCGCGTTCGACTCTAAGCTGACAGTGCGGTGGGAGCTACGCCCTCGCCACACGGATCAACCTTCCATCGTTGGATCCCGCTCTCTGCGCGGGGATATGGATAGGGAAGGTGGACGCGTGGCGAAAAATGGACGTATCACTGGCCCAACGAGCACCTAGCTTCCACTGCACTGTCAGCTCAGGGATAAATTAAGTATAATTACGGAATTAAGAGGAAACTTGCAAAGCAAATAGCGTACAACCTCGATATCGTGTTTTATTTCTACCCCGTTAGTTTCATCTGCCTCTCTTTCTTTCTTTCATTTTTTTTTTTCCTAGCTACGAACACATTGTGTAATGTCGTCCAATTACGTGAACGCGGTGCTTCAACTTTCGGATGAATGGAGGACGCTATTTAGTCTGTACGATAATTGTGTGGCATTAGTCGCGCGGAGTCATTTATTTAATCCGCGTGCCACTTGACGCTTTATGCACGATGAGAGCATAGAGGTTTCCGCATGGATCGCATGACGATTTGTTTTATCCTCCGTGCTTGGGAGAACGGCATTTGATCTTTGCCGAGCTACGAACTTAACAGTGCATACGCCGGAGGATATGGGGAGGATATTTACGGTACCGTTTACCGTCAGGAAAAAATATGTGGCTGACAATCGTCGTGTCGCTTTTATATATATATTTGTATACACAATAAAAGAAACAAGTGTAATAACGAACAGGAAAGCAGTTTTTGTCATTTTATAATTAACATTCCAAATGTTATAGTTCTTCTGAGGTAGCAAGCAAAGGGCAAATATGATTGATTAATATTATTAGAGCCCTCATTTAAACTGGTTTTAATGGCAGGAGATGAAGTCTTCGCGTATACATGGACAAAATTTACTCAAATCGGGAATCGTGTCCAAAACAAATGTCTCGTGTAAACGGAAATCTCTTTCAGTCGTGTTGTGCCACAAACGCCATTTTTAAATGAGTAATTAGAATAAGTGAGTACATCTTCATTGATGCCGAACTAAAGTTCGGCATCGATAAAATATTTTTGTTTTCAGCGCCGCAACACTCACCACTCCACCGAGTGGCCTTCGAAATTCAAAGCGAGAAGAGCGCGGACTTTTACCTTTGAACTCAAGTCCAGAGCAACCGTGCACAAGCCTTACTTTACGAGGTCGAAAAAAAACAGCAATTACAAACCAAAGCGAAGCCCTTTTTTGAAACAAACAGGCGAGACCGGGACCAGACAGGCCCTGCGAACATCACGAACTTCTTAGTTTACGACCATTCCCGCGTGCACTTGAAAGGGGGAGACAAGAGGGGGCGCCCGTCTCTGAAAGCGTTTTCAGCGAAACAATCGCCGGAAGCCACGGAGGAAACCCGGCCTTTATGATCCTCTTTTCGGCCTTTGTTGCGGTCTCGAACTTTGAAGTGCCGACGGGCGAGGCTGGTCGATGGCCTCTACACGCCAACTCAACTCCCGGACGTCGGTAGCGCTGCCGTCGCCAGTGCGCTTGCGCAGACCTCACAGTAATCTGGTTTCTACGCGCGCGCAGTACTCACACAAACTCGGACTTGCTTTTAACATACTGGGGTACTTCTCCTTCGCACGTGCAGCAAGGAATGACTCAGCCGGCGGTCGTCTGTTTCGACAAAAGGTAACGGATGGCCATGGCTGATACAATTACAAAGTTCTTGCTCGCAACCTCAGGAGTGAGCCTCGAAGTCATCGACGAAACGCCTGGTGATATCGGTTTTCCTAAAGGGTATTAGAGGTATGCGAATAGTGGTCGCGCAGAGACGAAGCTTCAGAAAGAGTTACAGACATTCCTCTTTCTTACGTACAAAACGAAAGATTTTTTAAAACATTTCCGCGCATGCGATTTGGATTTTCTATTGAAGGTTCACCTGGCCGCGCTCTGTCATCAAACGGAAGTGAGCTGACCCGTCGAGCCAAAGCGCATGGACGAGTGCAGGTGTTGGTCTTTGCAAAAGTCGCCAGGGGTACCGAACAAATAGATGTGTATGATTACACGTCTGCCCGCGAAAAGTAGGGGTGGCGTCTTGCCGGGTTTGTAATTTAGGAGCGGCCCCCAGGGGCCGCTGGCTGTCGACTCATGGAAAGAGGAGAAACTCGGCATGGTCACTTGCGCTCATTTCAAGGCTGCGTTGTGAGTGGTGCAGAAAAGGACCTGGTCTACTTTTCCCGCATTTTCAACCGGCAAGCATTTCAAAGCCCTATTTGACGACGGCGCTCAAATAAACGATAAAACAATCAAAATAAATCAGCGAACCACTGTATGCAAGGTAAAACTTAGGAGAAAAAGGGAGTGACGAGGGTATTCGCTCGATATTAAGTGAGCTTTGATTAAAAGGTCTCCTGATGTACCACGGTCACGCACGCGGTCGCTCGCGGACGAGCGTGGCAATATCTAACTGAGAAAGCGCTGTCATCATTTTAAAGAAGTCGGCTGATCGGGTCAGCATCTTTGTTATTAGACTTATTTGTAAAGTAGAATGAATACGCGAACACTCCAAGCCTCGTGGCGAATCTGTTTTTTTTTTCCATTAATTTTTTTTTTTTGGGGGGGGGGGGGGGGGAGGAGGGGGTTGTGGTTTACTTAAGGTAAAAAGTAAGACAAGTTCGGCAATAATAAAAAATATTGAACCGTAACGTTTTATTTGATCTGCCAGTAATGGTGCGAACGGCACGAGTCTTTCATTGCTAAAACCAAAACGAGCACACCAAAAACGAAGTTTGATACACAGACTTCGGCCAGTCTTCAGGTACGAGACGTCCAGACGTCCGGTTTTCAAGCGCCCCCCCCCCCCCCTTCCCCCCCCACCCCCCCCTCCTTCTCCTCCCCGAAAGACAGCTGGCTTCTCCATTCTTGAAAACAAGCGGGGGAAAGAGCAAAACAGAACCAGAGATTCCCGGCTCGAACTACCCCAAACTTTTTCACGTCTTCTCTCACATTATATATATATTTTTTTTAACAAGAAAATAGAAGATCGGCTTTGAAAGGCTGCTGTCAAGGCGCTCCCCTCTGCCCCTTGGGGCCTTACTACGCCCCCAACGTTCCAGAGTTCCGCTCGCAAGTTTTAAAAACCAGAGGCCGCACAACCTAACAGTAAAGAGAAAAAAAAAAGTCCGTCGGGACAGGTGGTGGTTGCAACAACGGCCCCGCTGCTTTGCTTCGACGCGTTTCTAAAGACTTTCCTTCGCGCGTCTGCAGCGCGTCTGGTACGTCGCGTGCCGCCTGTCGGCCTGCTGGAGAACCACGCGTCCCGTCCGTATTCTACTATAGGACCCTTGACCCAAGAGTGCTCCAACAGGCGCCAGGTGGCGCTTTCTACGCTTTCCTCCTCTCCACTGCTTGTGGAGAGGAGGACGAGACGGCTGAACACTTGATACTCTACTGTAAAGGGCTTCACCCTATGCCTACCGAAGACAACAAAGATTTAATAAAGTCATTGGGTTTTAGAGACAGCGAAGGGAGAGTGGATTTCAAGACTGTAGAAATTACCAAGCAAAGATTAAGTGAATGGTGGCAGAAATCGAGAGAAAACTAGGTATTTTCTTATCCACTGATGGCAAGGGGGTTTCATAGCCTCACTTTCTTTGCACTGCGGAGTGAATATAGATTTCACATTTAAATATTCTAAGCTTAAATGGTAAAACAAAATGGCTAGGTGGCGTAAGCTACTGCCCGATCCAAAGGGCTCAGCCGTATTCATCCATCCATCCATCCATCCATGGTTCCCAAGGAAAAAACATTTTGTGAGACTTTTGCATGCTTTCATTTTAATCACGCCGAAGAATAGTTTTTGCTCCTACAGTATACACCTGTGTGCAGAACAAAAAACTAACTTAAAGAAAAAAAGATGAAATTGAACATGCTGTGCAATTAATTATATTCTAATATGTATTGATATATGTCTATCATCACGTTTTTAGAGCAATGAAATCTTTATGTGGTTTCGGGCACTTGAGGCATTAGGACCTTACTTCGAGCGCAATATATTTTGACGAACTCAGGCGCAGTGTAATGCTTGTTACGTTTGTCAGCGCAATTAACTAGTTTTAATTGCTTTTCATATTGTGCCATCGGAGTAGTCCAAGAATCTAAAGATCCCTGCCTGCTTTCGTAAGTGGATGATCGAAACAGTGGAAAACTTGAATTCCGCAAAAGAACTTAGCGTCAATTAATAAATAAGCGGGACAACCGCGAGCTATCGAAGCTGCCAGTCATGTAAATTACACAATCACACATATAAAGAGTGAGTTGGACATTATCTTCAAAATATATATAGAGATTTAGAATACCATGCGGAAAACGAAGATGCAACTCACCAGATTTGCCGACGCTCCTGCTTCCCATGACCATAACGCGGATGGGTGAAAGTCCATTGCTCTTACGGGTCATGATGACGACGAAGAGTTCAAGCACCGATCACTCGAAAAGCGATTGAAGTCTTGTGTCTTTTTTTGTTTTCTCTCGCGCACCGAGGCCAAATACCGACGACGGTGAACCGTACGATTATGTAAACCCGTAATAAACGGGTGAAGATCCAACCGGCGAAAGTCCCACGAAAAGCAGACGAAGTAAAAAAGCTTACAAGCGCTGCCAACGCGGTTTGAGCGCTGACTGCGTTCACGCGGCGCGGCCGGGCTCCCTTTATACCCGGGAGCCGCGTCACGTGACCGTGCGCCTCAGCCAATGAGGAACGCCGTCCGCTCCACGTGCAAGTTTGAATAGAGCCGCTGATTTTTTGTCGCTTGTACACTTTCCCCGCGCGCAGACTCGCCTCTCCTTTTTTTAGTCAAGTTTTGTTTTGTTCTTGCGTCGGTCGCGCACGCCAAATTTCTTATAGATTTTTTTTTTTTTTTTAGGTACAAGAATTTTTTATCTACAGTTGCACAGCATGAAATCAACGGTTGTCGCCATATCCGTTTCTTCAGACTACGTGCGCGTACGTGTGCGCGCGTGTGCGTGCGTTGCTGCTGGTTTAGCTGCATCCTTTTTGTTTTTAAATTTCTCCAAACACGGAACGTGTTCCATGACAAAGCATCTGCACAAAGAACCGAATTTTATTCTCAGATTGCGGACAAGGAAAGCCCCACCACGGCCGCTCTAACACATGGCGTAACTCAGCATCGATTTGACTTTTTTTTATTTTTAGTTTAGCAAGTTTTTTTTTTTGCGTTAGCTTCCCACACTTCGTCGTTTGTTTTGCGTTCGTGTGGATGAGGCAACACCGGCACCGAGGACGCGGTTTTAGTGCTTTACCGGCTCTACTATGGCCGCACCGGCACATCGTATCAGGAGTACGAGCTACTTACTACGAGAGAGCCTTGATGGTAGAGAGGGTTCATCTCGAACCGTGGGGAGCATTTGCAGTTTAAAGGCGGACGCCCCGTTCCCGCGGAGATTGGTCGCAAGTGCGCGTGCCTCGCGTTGTCGTGTGGCGAGGAGGAACGCAGGCGTAAAGGCAGTGACGTTTGCAGACGATGGACGCGTTCGTCACGTTACGCGGCCCGCACACCACGTGACCTTATTGGTCGAGTAGTTGGACACTCTTTGGAGTTCAGGCTCTCTCTCTACTTACTACGTGCCAGCTTCACTGCCGGTGTCTGCAAAGTCAAATGTAGGCAAATAAATAAGAAAAGGGAAAGCGGTATGGCTTCAACTAATCTGCGTCACGCGAGAAACCCAACCAAGGAATGACACCAGAAAAATGTCTTTCTACTCAGCACGGAACTGAGATCCGCGACGTTTCGCAACACGTCAACGGAATTTCATCAAATCCAAATAAGCGGCATATATACTTCATCATATATATATATATATATATTTAATTTCGTCACCCTGATAACATTTTCCAGTGACTACAGCGACTATTCAATTAATCGCTTTCTGTGCGCCGCCATCTTGGTTTATGCTGTTTTTGGCAGGGAAGGAAACGCGGAGAGTGAAGAATACCGATCATCCCATTATCTTCCTGCAGCGAATGAGATTGCTCCATTAGCCGATCACAACGCCAAAGGACCAATCACGAAGCCAGAAGTCTGAGCATAATAAACCACACCCATTTTTGTTTTTCTGCAGCTGTCAATGACGCAGGTTACTAACATCTTTAAAAACGTGGTGTGTGACGACTTCTGGGCACCTATAAGTATCGCCGGGCATAAGCAAATAAGAAGACCCACAACCGAATCCCAAAGAAAGGGGCGCGAACAAAAATGCACAACTCACGGCGTTTCTTTAAAGCAAACGGACCCTGGAAAACCAGCGTCATTGTCTTCCCTGCCCGATAACCGGACACAAACACTTAGTAACTTATACGGACAACCAAAATCTCACAAGGTGATCGACTGATCGGATCGAAATGGATCACCATTTCGGTTCCTTCGAGTCTCGGAAGCTTCGAGAGGGTTATTCCAAACCAGTCGCACCAATATCGCCGTGTAACGTCATCGTACTAAAAGCGTTCCGCGCCAACATAAGCGTTTTTGGCAATGTGTTTATGCAATCAACCTATCATTCGTTCCATTCTACACGGATCTATATGTTCTTAAGAATTTCGAGACGAGGACATTTGTTTTAGGCCTCCAAGCCCCGATGCTGCTTGTGGAGGCGGTACTTGGCGGTTGTGGTGATGTGTCTGTGGATCACAAACTCTCGGTACTCGAGAAATATTTCTGTAAAGCAACCAATCGGCGGGAATTCAAATCGGCTCTCCAAGAATAGGGAGGCGGAGAACAAACTGCTTATTCCATGGGCCAAAATGGCGACCATGTACGGCGATGCTTTGGCGCTACTTTCCTAGGACCCCGTGCCTTTACGTTTATCGAGCTGTCAGTGCCTATAAACCTTTCCAGCGGCAGTCTCGAACGAAGCGAGCGGGCAAAAAATGCTGAGTCACTGAGCTGTGGACGCATGCGCAGCGTCCAATATACCGCAAAACAGATCAACCGCGCATGCTTGGAAGGCGTTCCACAGCCCGGCAGACAAAGATGGCAGCGCGCAGGAGGCGATTTCTGCAGAGGTCTATAGCCAGCTGCGCAAATGCGTAGCTCTATTCTGCAAAATGTCAGACTCCGACTCCCCTATTTCGTTTACAGCTCGATGACACTGCATTTATTTATGTCTGAATAATATAAGCGCCGTAAAGGGTGCATACGAGCGGAGCTTTCGTTCAACCAAAAGGCTTCCTTCGCCTGCTGTTTATTGTAAGCAGAAACCAATGGTGTGGTGAGTTTTAAACAGCACCTGTTCTGATCAGCCCCGAATTTGCAATAAATGAACCCTTTACAAGAATGCGTGCTTCAGGCTGCTTTAGACCGTTTATAATTTATCCTCTAATGTGGCGGATTTTAAAACATTTGTGCTTAAATTTAAGATTTTTTTAATTTTTTTATTTGACCTAGACATCCACGATTGCGAACGCAAAAAAAAAAGGAAACTTTGTTTTGTTAACTGGAAATCAAAGTATTTCTGGAAATAGAAGTTGACCAGGAAGAGAAGCATGTTTTGGAATAGCTTCCAAAGACGTCGAACTCGCGGAAAATAATTTTTAACTGCCTTGGGTTCCACGCGTATATCACGAAATGATAGTTGCACGTCGCGAACGTTGCGAATGTCGCGCATAAATTGTAGCTCGTCGCGACACTCGAAATAAGTTTTGTGGTGTATATAGTGAGCTGAATTGTTTTGCTGGAAGAAAGTTTATTTTGCGACATACGTGTCCTATTGAGGCACTCATTTATTTACTTTTTGTGTAGTTGCGTGTTTTTTGTACTTAGTAAGGGATCAACGATGATGATATAGCATATATATTTCTTTGGAGTGATACAAAATTATCCAGGCTCACTCTCTTCACTCCAATAAAGAACCCCGTGCCCCATTTTCTGGATACTTCGTTTACTCCTCAGTGCGAGCGTAACCAAGGCCAACGTTGCTAGGACAGAATTGGCCGAAGCATCATGTGCGATCCTTGTGCTTTGGTCATGGCTGCCAAGCACGCGCGCTCGCGCAGTAAAAGCGGTTCTAAAGCATCGACATCGGGCGTCGACTATTACTTGCTACGTTGTCAAAGCTGGCGTAGCTTCCGCAGTGCTCCAACTCTGTCCAAGTGCGCGAGAGCATACGAATGAGACGCAGCAGGAAGCCACGTGCTCAGCAGCGCGCCGTGCTGCAGCACTGTGGAGGTTACGATAGCCTCGACAGTGTATAGCAACAAAAAGTTGACGCTGGGTATGCACGTTTCCAATGTTTACAAAAATCACAGTCCACACGTGCTAAATCACGGTCAGGTGCATAACATGCAAACAAAGCAAAATGAACTGGCCCTCGTACGCATTTCTGGAAAGGTGTAGAATTTTCCCTTCGCTAGTACTTCAGGTGAGACGGAGAATGGAGGACTTGGAGAGTCAATATCTGCGGCCTATACGAATAAAACTTGGTTAGTGACACCTTCCACAGCCCCCTGCATACACACAAAAAAAGAAACATTACAAAGAAACGATTTGACCTTGAAGCAAAGTCTGCCACGTGGCAGTCGGCGCAATTCGCGATCACGTCAAGAACCAGGGTCAGTTACAAAACGCGAACTTTATGTCTGCGTTGCGAAACGTCCGGCCTCGCCATTCGTCAATCGTATGCCATTGATCGCTCTGGTTGGCTCTCGGAGCGCTATGCCAAAAAACGACGCACACACACACATATATATATATATATATTTATATATTTTTAGGGCTGAGATTATGGGTCATGCTTGACACTCGGCACGTATACCACGATCTCTTTTACTCCGAAAACAGAGTGCGAAAGTGTCTGGCTATGCTGATCCATTATGCCCCGGGAGTATCGATGATTAGATCGTCTTTCAACCAGAGCAGGCGATTTGAAGGACGAGCCGTATAATTGACTCAGTGGCCGCGCAGCAAGAACCACGTAGCAAGACGGCGTCCACCTTCTTCGCCATTTTGCCACTGGAGCATGATACTGCTCACTCTTTTCGCTGATCTAAGTGATTTAAAGGGACGGTACAACGGTTTTTTAAGCATTCCTTGACGCTCATAACCTATTAAACACGCAATAAAAGTCGCATAAAAAGTAAGAGAAGAACGAACAGCGTTCACGTCCTAAACTCGCAGCGAGAACAAGTGGTCCCATGATGTGGTGCCGATTGTATTCCAATGATATGCCGATTATAGGGTAACATCTTTGCCAAGCGGCATGATGAAACAACCCCAGTGCGCATCAGTTGTGAACTTGATCTTGAACTGATAAACTAAAAGGATATTGAATCCAGAGAGGATCGTCTGATTATGGACTGTGACGACTTTCGTACTTGTGTTTCATTTTCAGAAGTATACAGCTTTTTGACAAGTTTCAAAGGTAATACTTTTCGTATTACCGAT